ACGCAAGTGCTAAGGATGAGTGTTTTTGGATTGCTAGGCCTAGGGTTACCAGACAATACCAGGCCTAAGTCATAGTAGCTCTGCTGTAGAAAGAGGAGGAGTGTAGCCAGAGAGCGCTTTACAGGGAAATGGAATGGACCAACTAAGGCTGGCCTCTGGGGGGATTTTAAGCTGCCCTCCAAAACTACCACAAAGGAAGGTATCTACATTATTGGGAAAACCTATAAACAGGGGGAACTGAAGCAAAGGAGAGGAAAAGGCAGAGTTAAGACTTCACAGTGTGGAGGGACCTGTAGTGTTACATACAGCTCCAGCTTTCAACCTTTAGAAGTGTCTAAGAATCTATTGTAAGCAACTTCTTTTCACTACTTCCATAAAATAAGAAATATTCCTACAGCAAAAATGGAAGAGAATAAGCATTTTCTAACTTTTTCTTCTCATTAGCTGCTCCCTTTTGTTCTGTTTAGGTCTGAAGAGGATAATATAGCATTTAGGGAAAAAGATGAAACCTAGTAGTCCAGCACTGGAAGTCAATTTGTAGAAGATCTCCACAGTCACCATATATTTGCCTTTGCTGGAAGGGTAGGTTGGAACAAAGGTTAACCAGACACTGCAAAACAGCAACTTGCTGAAGGTGATAAACTTGGCTTCATTGAAGCTGTCAGGTAACTTCCGTGCTAGGAAAGCCACAATGAAGTTGATAAATGCCAGGAAGCCCATAAAGCCCAAGACGCTATAAAGCATCATTCCAGATCCTTCATTGCATTCCAGTACATTATTCTGAATGAATTAATCTGTGCTAGAATCTGGGAATGGTGGCGAGGTTGTCAAATTTAGTGTACAAATTTTGAGTTGAGTGAAGGAGCACAAAAGAATAATGGATATGCTAGTCTTTTCCTTATCCATTTTCCAACTTAGATCCTGGCTTATTGGCCATTAAAGCTACCACAACTGTGATGGCTTTGGCCAACAAGCAAGAAATCATCACTGAGAAGACAATTCCAAAAGTCATTGTCGGGGAGACAGGTCACCTTCTGAGGTCAGCCAATGAATAGCAAAGTGCAGAGGAAGGAAAGCAGGAGGGAGATGAGAAGGGTGTAGGAGAACATCCGATTGTTTATTTTCACAATGGGTGAGTTGTGGTACTTCACAAAGATTGCTAACACCAAAGTGGTAATGAAAGAGAGGGCAACAGTCAGGCCCGTAGCCAGGATTTCGATGGGGGGGGGGGTGAGGATTTTTCAGGGGGGGGGGCTGAGTTTCGGGGGGGGGGGCTGAGTCTGAGTGAAAGAGGGTCTACCCTAGCAAACCTTTTGTATCGTTACCCCAATACCCCATGCATATGGGATATATTGAGTATGGTGATCAGATCATGATATGAATAAACATAACAGTTTAAATAATGCACCAGTAAGGCGAACCACCATGAGAATTTCGGGGGGGGGGGGCTGAAGCCCCGGCTACATGCCTGGCAACAGTAGAAGTCATCAAACCTATCCCCAAAGGGGACCCATCCTTCTGATGAAACCATAAGGTGTATGCATGTATGTATGTGTAGATATATATATTAGGGCTGGGCGGTTTCATTCGTTAATTTTGTAATTCGTTAATTATTCGTTATTTTTAACATTTACAAAACGATTACAAAACTTATTTTCAAACCCGGAAGTGTTTTTAAATATCGAAACGGCATCCTCCATCTTTTTTACGAGCTTCCGCCCGTTTCGGAAATGACGTTTAAGGATGGAGGATGCTGGGTGCGCCGGGAGCCAATCCGGTGCTCCCAAGCACCGTGTCTCATTCTGATTGGGCGGGCTGCCCTTTAAAAGCGGCTCCACGTGGCCCAGCCACCTTTGCTCTGCTGCTTCCCTCCTCTTTCCTCATGCTGTCTTCCTGGGCAGCAGCTTCAAACTATTATTTATTACTAATATCAGGGGTCTTCAAACTTTTTAAACGGGGGGGGGGGGGGAGAGATTACTGTCACAGCATGGGTAAGAGTCTTAATATAACAGCAGGAAATTCATGAATATGTTTACTGATCAGCCGATCAGCCGAACTATCAGGAATGTGGCCTCACATAACCCAGCTTTCCACACAGCCATATAACTCAGAATCTCAAAGCACAAAATCCCCCAAAACGTGCTTTAAACTGGATTATATGGCAGTGTGGCCTCACATAACCCAGCTTTTTCCACACAGCCATATAACTCAGAATCTCAAAGCACAAAATCCCCCAAAACGGGCTTTAAACTGGATTATATGGCAGTGTGGCCTCACATAACCCGGCTTTTTCCACACAGCCATATAACTCAGAATCTCAAAGCAGAAAATCCCCCAAAACGTGCTTTAAACTGGATTATATGGCAGTGTGGCCTCACATAACCCAGCTTTCCACACAGCCATATAACTCAGAATCTCAAAGCACAAAATCCCCCAAAACGTGCTTTAAACTGGATTATATGGCAGTGTGGCCTCACATAACCCAGCTTTTTCCACACAGCCATATAACTCAGAATCTCAAAGCACAAAATCCCCCAAAACGTGCTTTAAACTGGATTATATGGCAGTGTGGCCTCACATAACCCAGCTTTTTCCACACAGCCATATAACTCAGAATCTCAAAGCACAAAATCCCCCAAAACGGGCTTTAAACTGGATTATATGGCAGTGTGGCCTCACATAACCCAGCTTTTTCCACACAGCCATATAACTCAGAATCCTGCAGACAGCTGGAGGAGAAGAATCAGGAGGAGGAGGAGGCTTAGGAGGAACAGCTTAATTATAATATAGTATAATAATATATAATATAATATAATATAATATATATTATAATATATTATATATAATATAATATACACTAATAATATAATATTATTGTATATTATATTATGTTATTATATAATATATTACTACATTATATTATATTATATTATTATTGTATATTATATCATTATATTATATTATATATGTTATAATTGTGTATTATTATATTATATTATTATTATATTATATTATAATTGTATATATTATATTATAATATATCATATTATATCTATATAATATGTCCAAAGACCACAGCATGTCCAAAAGCAGAAGATTAAGTCAGAAGGAAACATCCAAAAACAATCCGAAGTAAGAATCCAGTCTTTAAACCGGTTTGAAACGGTTTAATGTAATATAATGTAATATAATAATAATATAATATAATATACAATAATAATATACTATAATAATATATTATATTATTATTGTATATTATATTATATTATGTTATTATATATTATATTTATTATATTATATTATATTATATTATATTATATTATATATTTATATACATATAATAGTGTATTATATTAATATAATTGTATATTAAAGCACCCCTGACAGGTCCATCCATTCTTAATAATAATTATATTATATTATATTATATTAGAATAGTTTTAAGCTGCTGGCCAAGGAAGACTTTTAGCTGGGTTGAGACAAGCCGTTTCAAAGCAGTTTAAAGACTGGATTCTTACATCGGATTGTTTTTGGATGGACATTTCATTCTGACTTAATCTTCTGCTTTTGGGCTTGGGACAGTTTTTTGAGAACACTTTACTTGCTTCCACCCAATGTTTTCTAACCCTGTGATTCTGAAGCAGTTTGCTTGAACTGCTCTTATCCCAGATTATATACCAGGATAATCTGGATTATTTGCTAAATTATGTTTTTGGCACAGCAATTTGCTACAGACTTTAGTTCTTGATACTAGAAGTAGATACACTGAATTAAGTGCTTCTAGCTATTTTTGTTGTTATAATAATAATATTATAATATATAATATAATATAATATGTATAATATATTATAATATATAATATAATATACAATAATAATATAATATAATATAATAATATATAATATAATAATATATTATATAATATAATATATAATAATTAATATATATAATATAATGTAATAATATAATATAATATAATAATATAATATAATAATATAATATAGTTGTTGTTTGTTTTATCACACCAACAGTCAACAACAGAGGGAGAGGGAAGCTTCAGAAGTTCCCCCTGTCCCGTTTGGAGGTTTTTTTTAGCATATTCCGCAATCACGTCCGCCATTAACGAATCGATTCGTTAATATTAACGAAATTTCGTAAATATCAAACTTTTTTAAAGGAAAATTTTGTAATTATTTTAAATAACGAAACGCAAACCCCCCCCCAAAAACGAATCGATTTTAGAAACAAATTTTTGCGTTGTTACCCAGGCCTAATATATTCACATACACACACATACTCATATATACATTGAAAAGACCTTCACAGCAATGACGTATTTATTAGGCTTGGGCGGTTTCGTTCGTTAATTTCATAATTTGTTATTAATTCGTATTTAAATTAGCTTACGATCCAATATTGAGCCATGCAGGACTACTGTGAGGAGTAATTAAAAATTGAAACAATTTTTCCAATTTATTTCGTATTGTTTCGTAAATGTTTCGTAATTGGTTCAAAATTGTTTCGTAATCGTTTCGTAATTGTTTCGTAATTATTTCCGTATGTCTGGTGCAAGTTTTATAGTTTTGTTTTATCAGTGATAAAAAATAAATTATCACACCAACAGTCAACAACAGAGGGAGAGGGAAGCTTCAGAAGTTCCCCCTGTCCATTTGGAGGGTTTTTTTAGCATATTGCGCAATCGCGTCCGCCATTAACGAATCGATTCGTAATTTTACGAAATTTCGTATATTTCAAACTTTTTTAAAGGAAAATTTCGGAATTCTTTAAAAAAACGAAACGCAAGGGCCCCCCTAAAAACGAAACGAGTTTAGAACCAATTTTTTCTGTAGTTACCCAAGCCTAATATATATATATGTGTGTGTGTGTGTGTGTATCTTCTGTTCCAGAATATCATCGATCATCAGGAAATTTTAGTAACCTTAGAAAGCAAAATCCAAATAAAAGACAAAATATGATGGACAAATAAACAGAAACTTTCTTTAACGCTTTCTTTTCATTACTTGCTCCCTTGTATTCAGATCAGGCCTCAGAAGAATGATAAAGCATTTGGGGAAAAATATACAACCTAGTAATCCAGCACTGGAAGCTAAGATTGAGAAGATCTGCACTGCCACCATGTATTTTCCCTTAGTACTCAAGTATGTTGGAACAAAGGAAATCCATACACTGCAGAAGACCAACATGCTGAAGGTGATAAATTTGGCTTCATTGAAACTGTCAGGCAACTTCCTGGCAAAGAAAGCTGCAGTGAAACTGCAAATAGACAGGAAACCCATAAAACCTAGGAGGCAATAAAACATGGTGATTGACCCTTCATTACATTCCAGAATGACTTCTTCAGCCATTGTGTTCACATCAAGATCAGGAAATGGGGGGAAAGTAGACAGCCACACTGTACAAATTGTGGCTTGAATGAGCAGGCTGGAAATTACAATGGAGGTGGCCATTCTATTCCCCAACCATTTCCTCAACTTGGATTCAGGCTTGGTGGCTTGGAAAGCAAGAATCACAGTGATAGTTTTTGCCAACACAGAAGAAATAGCCACAGAGATGATGCCGAAAGCTGTCTGACGAAAGACACAGGTCACCTTCCGTGGCTGTCCAATGAAGAGTAGAACACAAAGGAAGGAGAGCAGGAGGGAGAGGAGGAGGGTGTAGGTGAGGGTCCGATTATTGGCTTTGACAATGGGAGTGTCCCGGTGTTTGATGAAGATCCCAAGCACTCCAGCAGTCACACAAAATAGGAGAACAGCAGAGATGGCCAAGCTTGTCCCCAGAGCTTCTTCAAAAGTGAGGAAAGTTAGAGATTTGAGGATGCAGAAATCCCTGTTCTTGTTTGGATAATGATCTTTTGGACACTGAAAGCAGTTATCCACATCTGGGGAGAAGTAAACATTGACATATATGTGGCAACCTCATTTAAAGGCAATCGATATAGTCAAAACATCATTTTGAAAGACTGTAATAAAACTTATGTAGTCAATATTTCCCCATCTCATGTCTGTTGGAAGGAATATTGACTAGAAAGACACTAGAAGAAATTAATAAATAATAATAATAATAATAATAATAATAATAATAATAATAAATATTGTTTATAGACCGCCTATCTCCCCAAAGGGACTCAGCGAATTTTCCAACATGTACGGCAAACATTCAATTCCAAAAATGGAAAGTAATTCACATTACATCAGGAAATATCATATTGAGACAATATAGCAGCAACCTAAATCTAATCTTAATATCAGACAAAACAACTGACAAGAATTTAAATGACCTATACGAATATATAAATTAATGTAAATTTGACACTAAATAAAAGCAATTAAGACCAATAACTAAAAGATGACATGGTATCAACAATCAGTCAGCTGAGGTTAGTTCCAGTCTCTAGGCAAGGTTTAACGTATCTAGGTGACAGTATAAGTTAGTCATATTAGTCTTCCTCCTCTCCATACACCACAGTACATAGGTGGGTTTTCAGCAATTTTTTTAAAATCAAGGAGAGAGGGAGCAGGGAGCAATCATGGAGAAGGCCCTGTCTCTCGTTCCCACCAACTATGCTTGAAATGCGGGTGGGACCGAGAGCAGGGCTTCCTCTGCAAGGCTTGAGCCAGTTTCTATAGGGATATGTGTTTCTGCAAATAGTCTGTGCCTGAACTATCTAGGGCTTTATAGGATATGACCAACACTTTGTATTTAGCCCGGATGCAAATTGGCAGCAAGTGGAGCTGCCGCAGCATGACAGTGGTCCTCTCACGGTACAGCGCTCCAGTTAACAATCTGGCTGCTGATCTCTGTACGAATTGCAGCTTTCCGAACTATCTTCAAAGGCAGCCCCGCATAGACTGCATTACAGTAGACCAAATGGGAAGTAACCAGGGCATGGACTACTGTCTCCAGATCTGGCATTTCAAGGTATGGGCACAGCTGGGACACAAGTTTTAATTGTGTGAAGGTGCTCCTAACCACTGCTGACACCTGGCGTTCCAGGGCCAGTGGTGAATCCAGGATCACCCCCAGTCTGTGGACCTGTGTCTTTAAGGGGAGTGTGACTCTGTCCAACACAGGCTGTAATCCCACACCCTGGCCTACCTTCCAACTGACCAGGAGTACCTCTGTTTAGTCTGGATTTACTTTCATTTTATTAGCCCTCATCCAGTCTATTACTGATGACAGCCACCGGTTTAGGGGCAGGACAGCATCTGTGGCATTGGGTGGAAAAAAGTAACAGTTGGGCATTGCCCACATAAATTTGACACAGTTCCAAAACTCCATATGATCTCTCCCAGTGGTTTCATGTAAATGCTAAAAACCATGGGAGCCAGAAATGAATTCTGAGGGACCCCACAGGCCAAAGGCCAGGGAGTCGAACAGGAGTTCCCCAGCTCCACCATCTGGGCCTGCCCTTCCAGGAAGGTCTGCAAAACAGTGTCTCCCAGTCCCATCCCAGAGAGCTGGCCCAGAAAGATACCATGAGTGATGGTATTGAAAGCCACTGAGAGATCCAGGAGAACTAGTAGGGACACACTCCGCTTGTCTAGTTCTCTTCAATCAATGCAATCAATGCTGTCTCTGTCTCATAGTTGGGCCTGAAACCAGATTGAGATGGATCCAGATAATTGTTTTAATCCAAAAAAATGAAACAGCTCTTCATGGATGGGAATTTCTCAAGAGTGAAATACTCAAGGCGCAATTGCAAACAGTGCCAACAAAGAGAAAAAATAGGACAAGTGCAAAGAAGCCAGAATGGATGTCCAAAGAACTTCTAACTGTGCTAAGACACAAAAGAGACATGCACAAGAAGTGGAAAAAGGGAGAAATCACCGAAGAAGAATTCAAACAAATAGCCAACACCTGTAGGGAAAAGGTCCACAAGGCTAAAGCACAAAACAAGCTCAGGCTTGCCAGGGACATTAAAAACAATAAAAAGGGCTTCTTTTCTTATGTCAGTAGAAAAAGGAAAAACAAGGAGGCGATAGGGCCTCTTCGAGGAGAAGATGGGGCAATGCTGACAGGGGATAGGGAAAAGGCAGAACTACTTAATGCCTTCTTTGCCTCGGTCTTCTCACAAAAAGAAAGTTATCTTCAACCTCAGCAAGATGGAGTGGATGAGGGATTAGAGGACATCCAACCCCAAATTGGGAAACAAGTCATCCAGGAGCTCTTAATGAGTTCAAGTCACCAGGGCCAGATCAACTACACCCCAGAGTATTGAAGGAACTAGCGGAAGTCATTTCGGAACCATTGGCAACCATCTTTGAGAGTTCTTGGAGAACGGGAGAAGTTCCAGCAGATTGGAGGAGGGCCAATGTGGTCCCAATCTTCAAGAAGGGAAAAAAAGGATGACCCAAACAATTACCGTCTGGTCAGCCTCACGTTGATACCAGGCAAGATTCTGGAAAAGATTGTTAAGGAAGTGGTCTGCAAACACTTAGAAACAAATGCGGTCATTGCTAATAGTCAACATGGATTTATCAAAAACAAGTCATGCCAGACTAATCTGATCTCTTTTTTCAATAGAGTTACAAGCTGGGTAGATGTGGGGAATGTCGTGGATGTAGCGTACCTGGATTTCAGTAAGGCCTTCGACAAGGTCCCCCATGACCTTCTGGCAAACAAACTAGTCCAATGTGGGCTAGGCAAAACTATGGTGAGGTGGATCTGTAATTGGTTAAATGGACGAACCCAGAGGGTGCTCACCAATGCTTCCTCTTCATCCTGGAAAGAAGTGACGAGCGGAGTGCCGCAGGGTTCTGTCCTGGGCCCGGTCCTGTTCAACATCTTTATTAATGACTTAGATGAAGGGTTAGAAGGCATGATCATTAAGTTTGCAGACGACACCAAATTGGGAGGGATGGTCAATACTCCAGAGGACAGGAGCAGAATTCAAAACAATCTTGACAGATTAGAGAGATGGGCCAAAACTAACAAAATGAAGTTCAACGGGGACAAATGCAAGATACTCCACTTAGGCAGAAAAAACGAAATGCAAAGATACAGAATGGGGGACCCTGGCTCAAGAGCAGTACGTGTAAAAAATATCTTGGAGTCCTTGTGGACAACAAGTTAAACATGAGCCAACAAAGTGATGTGGTGGCAAAAAAAAAAAAACACCAATGGGATTTTGGCCTGCATCAATAGGAGCATAGTGTCTAGATCTAAGGAAGGAATGCTACCTCTCTATTCTGCTTTGGTTAGACCACACCTGGAATATTGTGTCCAATTCTGGGCACCACAATTCAAGAGAGATATTGACAAGCTGGAATGTGTCCAGAGGAGGCGACTAAAATGATCAAGGGTCTGGAGAACAAGCCCTATGAGGAGCGGCTTAAGGAGCTGGGCATGTTTAGCTGAAGAAGAGAAGGCTGAGAGGAGATATGATAGCCATTAGGGCTGGGCAACCATGGAAAAATTTGTTTCTAAACTCAATTCGTTTTTAGGGGGTTTTTGCGTTTCGTTTTTTAATGGCGGACGCGATTGCGCAATACGCTAAAAAACCCTCCAAGTGGGACAGGGGGAACTTCTGAAGCTTCCCTCTCCCTCTGTTGTTGACTGTTGGTGTGATAATTTATTTTTTATCACTGATAAAACAAACAACAACTATAAAACTTGCACCAGACATACGGATATAATAACGAAACGAAACAATTTCGAAACAATTTCGAAACAATTACGAAACAATTACGAAATAAATTTTAAAAATTCGTTTCGATTTTTAGTTGCTCCTGAATGGTTCAATATCAGATCGTTAAATACTTTAAATACGAATTATTAACGAATTACGAAATTAATGAACGAAACCGCCCAGCCCTAATAGCCATGTATAAATATGTGAGAGGAAGCCACAGGGAGGAGGGAGCAAGCTTGTTTTCTGCTTCCCTGGAGACTAGGACGCGGAACAATGGCTTCAAGCTACAAGAGAGGAGATTCCATCTAAACATGAGGAAGAACTTCCTGACTGTGAGAGCCGTTCAGCAGTGGAACTCTCTGCCCCGGAGTGTGGTGGAGGCTCCTTCTTTGGAAGCTTTTAAACAGAGGCTGGATGGCCATCTGTCAGGGGTGATTTGAATGCAATATTCCTGCTTCTTGGCAGAATGGGGTTGGACTGGATGGCCCATGAGGTCTCTTCCAACTCTTTGATTCTATGATTCTATTATTCAGAATGAGCTGCTGATTGGTCAGTGACTTTGACAGAGCAGGATTTAACCTGTTCGAATCTGTACAGGGAATTTATAAAGAGTAAATATCAGTCCAGAAGGAAGAAGAGAAAAACAATGTAATAGGAAGGAAGAATGGAATTATATATGTATGCCACCAATCCAAGTCACTAAATTGAGATGGTTTGGAGGAGGGCAGAGTATAACTAAATATGAATATTGTACTGATATTACGAAGTATTGTATTGGTTTATGTAGATATACATGTATATAGATTTGTTTCACTGTTTTTATGAATAGGTAAATTGCAAAATAAAAAAGCCATATTAATTCCAAAAGCTAATACCTTTTTTTTTAAAGAAGGCTTTTCATTATACATGTAGAGGAAGGAAAGTTATAGAAAACTCATTCCATGTGAAATAGGAAGGTGGAAAGGGAGGGAAGGGAAGGAGGGAAGTAAGAAAGAAGGAAAGAAGGGCGGATGACTCTTACCCTTCTGGGCAGAAATCTTCCCTTCTGGACATGGAATACAATCATAGCAGCAAAATGACTTCCCTTCCTTCTTTTTTTTATTGTACCCTGGATAACAATGGTCATTACACAAAGAAAGAGGTTGTACCTATGAACAAATAAAGGGAAATATCATAAAGGGAAATATCATCATTGAGCCTGGATCCCCAGGTTTCAGCGGTGACCAGGGGAGCATTTGCACAGCTTAGGCTCATGCGCCAGCTGCGCCCGTACCTTGGGAAGTCTGACTTGGCCACGGTGGTACACGCTCTGGTCACATCCCGCCTTGACTACTGCAACGCTCTCTACGTGGGGCTGCCCTTGAAGACGGCCCGGAAGCTTCAGCTAGTCCAGCGCGCGGCAGCCATGTTACTAACAGGAGCGGGATGCAGGGAGCACACAACGCCCTTGCTGTTCCAGCTCCACTGGCTGCCGATTTGCTACCGGGCCCAATTTAAGGTGCTGGTGTTATCCTACAAAGCCCTAAACGGTTCCGGCCCAAAATACCTTTCGGACCGCATCTCGGCCTATGAGCCCACGAGGACCTTGAGATCGTCTGGGGAGGCCCTTCTCTCGATCCCGCCTGCTTCACAGGCGCGTCTGGCGGGGACGAGAGAAAGGGCCTTCTCGGTGGTGGCCCCCCGGCTGTGGAACGACCTCCCTGTTGACATCAGACAGGCGCCCTCCCTTTTGTCCTTCCGTAGGAGCCTGAAGACGTGGCTATTTGAGAAGGCATTTAACTGAGCGCTACGGCAACTGGTAATTGACAACTGGAACGGAATTATGGATTACGATACTGGTTATGATTCGATGATGCGACGGAGCGGATTATTTAGTGTAATTTAGATTATTGTGTATTACTGTTGTGTTGATTTCCTGTTTTGCTCTTTTGTAAACTGTTTTTATATGTTGTACACCGCCGCGAGTCGCCCTAGGGCTGAGAGCGGCGGTCAATAAATGCAGCAAATAAATAAATAAATAAATAAATAAATATTTCATGGTGATGATGCTTGACTCTCACTTCCTCTCCAATATAACTCCATGGAATCTGTTTAAGTTCTAAACTTTGGTCTAGTTTCAGTAATGGACTAATGAGGGCGAAGAAACTGAGTGTCAGTTCAGACAAGACAGAGTTGCTTATGGTCAGTTGAAAGGCATATAAACAAATCAGGATACACCCTGTGATGGTTGAGGTTACACTGGAAGTACACAGATACACAACTTGTGTGGCTTCAGTCTTAAATATAGCAGGGCAAGAAAGATGGTCACTAATATCAACATTGCCCAGGGTTCTGCAGTTTCCAGGTGTGCTTTGTCACACTTAAAGGCTATGGGGACAACTCCACCCAATGCTGAAGAAGCCTGATCCATCCACAATTACACATGTCTTGATGACATCTCATTTGGATGGCTCTACCACACTCCATGAGGAGATGACTTTAAAGAGTGTTCCGAAATTTCAGCTGGGACAAAGAGTAACTCCCCTAAGTCTGTGAGCTCCACAATTCAAAGTGTTGGTTGTGATGTAGAAAGGTCTACACAGCATACATCTAGATTATTGGACAAACCATACCTACCTGACTGAGACTGCCTGGATCTTATTATCTGCAAAAAAAAAAAAAGGTCTTCCACTTTGAGTCCCATCACCTTCACAAATATGCTTGGTGGAAACAGGAGAGAGGACCTTTTTAGTGGAAGAGAAAGAATGCAAGAAGGATTTGCAGCTCATGAAGAACATTCTCTGGTTTGAATGTTGCCTGATAGTATTCCTACCAAGATGACATGCTTATGATATGGGTCTCTGACACAGAGATACAGTATATACTTTTTGGAGTGGGTGGAAATCACATGATGGAATTTATTCACACCCTACCTGATTGAACCAGCTGGGCCATACAATGGCATCCTCATGAACAGTGAACTCAATGGTTGGTAGAGACTGTGGTTCTATCCTTCCCACTTTCACTCGATTAAAGGTCTCATTGGGGAACGTGACCCAATTGATGATATCAAAACCAGCTACTAATTCCCCATTTCTATTAAAAGAAATCTGTTCACCAACTGTGTTGTTAAATATAACTCTTTTCAGGAAGTGATGAAGCTAAAGTGAGAAGAGAAAATGCAGTTACAAATGATGCTCACAATCCAACTAAACAACATATGATAGTAATTCCTTGCATTTGACATCTACATTTAATGGAACCTATGTGCCCTTATAGAAAGTATATGTTGATTAGTGATACTAATGAGCTAGTTTATATAAAGCTAGGAAATGTCTAGGACACAGAGCAATGTGCACACAACATTAACCAGGAAAGAGATCCCACCTGATCTTGAATGCTCAACAGGATCAGCCCTGGATAGTGCTTGGATAGCATCTGCGCATGCTTTGGTAACTGTACAGTGGCAGATAGGAAGGCTCTCCAAAGGGTCACCACTAACGCACAGAGAATCATTGGTTGTCCTTGCCCCTCTTTGGTAGAACTTTATAGGTTCCACAGCCTTAAGAAAGCTCAGAGAATTTTGGGGAATCCCTCTCACCCAGCATATTCCTATTTTGAATTATTGCCATCTGGCAGAGGAAATGGTATAGGGTGACAAAGACAAACTGACTGAGAGACACCTTCTATCTGAGAACAGTGGCTTTATTGAACTCCATGGTTTTGTAATTATGTGGCATTGGGTGCTGTGTGGTGATCGAGGGGGTGTGGAGGGGTGCGTGTGTTGTTTTGTCATGTGTGTCGAAGAAAGCATTTAATTTTGTTCTGCGATAGTACAATGACGATAAAGCTATTCTATTCTATTCTATTCTATTCTATTCTAGTGCTTGGTTGAAAAAATGCCAGTGAATACCTGGAACTACAGGCTATATTTCATAGGAAAAGAAATAATATAACCATATCAGAGTCTACCTTGCCTAAGAAAACCTTATGAAACTCATGGATTGTCCATTAGTTAACAGGGAATGTGACAGGCACATAAAATCAAATTGGAAACATGGGTCAAGGGGAATAAATATGAAGCAATATTTACAGTGTGCTATCCAGTATTCAGAAATCACTATTGGAAAAGACTGACATAAAGCAGGGCAAGAAAGCTGGTAGGTAATATCAAAATTGTGATGGAAAATGGATTAGTTGAAGAAAGGTTGAAGGAATTGGCTGTTTTTATCCTGGCTAACAAAAAACTAATAGAAACACGTGGACCATAATGACGATTTGAACAAACAAAGACTACAAAAAAAAAATAACAGACCAACAAAGGTTAATTCTAAACAGAGATATAACAGAACAAAAAATCAAACGTGCCATCAAAAAATGGACAGCAACAAAGTCCCCGGCTCAGACGGTTTCACCGCAGGATACTACTAGGGCTGGGCAACCATGGAAAAATTTGTTTCTAAACTCGATTCATTTTTAGGGGGTTTTTGCGTTTCGTTTTTTAAAAGAATTCCGAAATTTTTCTTTAAAAAAGAATTAATTGCCAATCTGGTAACAGCAGCAAGATTATTAATAGCTAAAAAATGGAAAGAAGGAGGGGAGTGTCAATTGGAAGAGTGGTATAGGGAGATCTGGGACATCGCAATAAACGATAAACTGACAGGAAACATTAAGGTTAAAAGAGGATTATCAAAAAAAGATGATTTTGGGAAGATTTGGGGGAAATTGATAGAATATGTATATATAGAAGGTAAGGGGACCAAACCTGTAATAGAAACAACTGATTTTTGGGAATAAATATTGTAATTGGCTGGTCGGGGGTGAAGGGTTAGCACTGGGTGATTGGATGTATTGAAGCAGGAGAATGAAATATTATAGCTATCAAGATATACATGTTCTGTACAATTGTTAATGGGAAGTGATAAGTAGAAGAATGTTTAAATACTGAATATGTTAAAGCTACAATAAATAAAATTAAAAAAAAAGAAAAAAAAATAACAAAAAACTAATAGAAACACGTGGACCATAATGACGATTTGAACAAACAAAGACTACAAAAAAAAAATAACAGACCAACAAAGGTTAATTCTAAACAGATATAACAGAACAAAAAATCAAACGTGCCATCAAAAAATGGACAGCAACAAAGTCCCCGGCTCAGACGGTTTCACCGCAGGATACTACTAGGGCTGGGCAACCACGGAAAAATTTGTTTCTAAACTCGATTCATTTTTAGGGGGTTTTTGCGTTTCGTTTTTTAAAAGAATTCCGAAATTTTTCTTTAAAAAAGTTCGATATTTACGAAATTTTGGAAATTACGAAACAATTTCGAAACAATAACGAATCGCTAAAAAACCCTCCAAATGGGACAGGGGGAACTTCTGAAGCTTCCCTCTCCCTCTGTTGTTGACTGTTGGTGTGATAATTTTTTTTTATCACTGATAAAACAAACAACAACTATAAAACTTGCACCAGACATACGGAAATAATAACGAAATAATAACGAAACAATTTTGAAACAATTACGAAACAATTACGAAATAAATTTTAAAAATTCATTTCGATTTTTAGTTGCTCCTGAATGGTTCAATATTGCATCGTTATCAAAAAAATAACGAATTAATAACTAATTACGAAATTAACGAACGAAACCGCCCAGCCCTAGATACTACAAGTAATGATAGAGGAAGTCACCCCATATCTTTTAAAAATAATGAATGGAATTTCAAAAAATCAGGAAAAAATACCCAAGTCATGGAAAACAGCTTATATAACAATGATAAACAAAGAAAATCAAGACCCGAGTGATGTTAAAAATTATAGACCTATTTCCCTCCTCAATGTTGATTATAAAATCTTTGCTAGTATACTTGCTGAAAGATTAAAAACATTTTTGAAAGACTGGGTTAAAGAGGAACAGGCAGGCTTCCTCCCTAATAGACAAATTAAAGACAATGTAAGAATAATTCTAAATACAATTGAATTCTACGAAAGAAATAACCCTATTTCTATTAAGTCTTGATGCAGAAAAGGCTTTGATAATTTAAATTGGGATTATTTAAAATTACTAATAAAAGAATTAGACTTCGGATTTCAATTTACAAATGCCATTGAAGCAATTTATGAAACCCAAGAAGCCAAGCTGACTATTAATCTGAAATTCTTAAAATAGGCAAAGGCACAAGACAGGGGTGTCCCCTGTCACCTTTACTATTTATAATGGCTCTAGAAATTCTACTAAACAGTATAAGGGATGATCCAAATTTAAGAGGAATTGAAATCAACAAAGAAAATTACAAGATAAGAGCCTTTGCAGATGACATAATTTGCATAGTCAACAACCCACTAGAAAGCATTACCAACTGGCTCAATAAATTTAATGACTATGGTAAGGTAGCGGGCTTCAAAATAAACAAGAAAAAGGCTATGATCCTAACTAAAAATATGTCACAAGAGAAAAAGGAAGAACTAGCTAAACAAACAGATTTTCAAGTAACAGAAAAAAAATAATTTGTTTATAGCATTGACTGCCAAGAACTCACAACTGATAAAAAATGACTATGACCAAAAATGGAAAGAAATTAAGAAAGATTTGGACAATTGGAAAAATTTGAAATTATCTCTTTTAGGCCCCATCTCAGTGATTAAAATAAACATCTTACCTAAAATGCTTTTCTTTTTTCAATCTCTAGCAATTATCAAAGAATCGAACATTTTCAACATATGGAATAAAGATATATCCAAATTCATTTGGCAGCATAAGAAACCAAGGATAAAAAGACTTACACTAATAGATGACAAAAGGAGAGGAGGTTTTGCCCTTCCTGATTTAAGATGTTACTACGAAGCCTGTGCCCTTACCTGGATCAAGGATTGGACCACCCTCAAAAAAGGTAATATTTTGACATTGGAAGGTGCCAATCTGGGGAGAGGCTGGCATGCCTACATTTGGTATGATAAAATTAAAATTGAGAAAAACTTTAAGAATCATTATATAAGAGCTGGATTAATAAAAATTTGGGAAAGATATAAAAAAATGTATAGAAATACACCACTTTGGCAGTCACCTTTCAAAGCTTTTCACTGGAGAGAATTAGGATGGCAATACTGGCCTACATACAAATATATTGTAAAGAAACAAGGAGGTAAATATGAACTAAAAGGAGAAAAAGAAGTAAGAGAAAAATTTTAAGAATCTAACATGGCTCAACTATAGACAATTGATAGATTGTTATAGAAAAGACAAAGAGTTAGACTTTGTCGACAGCAACGGCTTCTGGGACAGGATCATGAAAACAGAAAACAAAACAAAATTGTATAAAATTATTAGACTGGACAACAGAAAAAGAACAGATAAAAATTCAATTAATAAATGGGCACAAAATATAGGACACCAAATCCAACTATGTCAATGGGGAAAAAATTGGAACCAAAAAATAAAATATACTTATTCCTATAACCTTAAAGAAAATTTATTAAAAATGATATACAGATGGCATAAATCCCCCAACAGATATCAAAATGTTACCAAAATGCATCTAACAAATGTTGGAAATGCGACCAGCAAATAGGTACATTCTATCACACTTGGTGGACTTGCCCTAAAGCTAAAGACTTTTGGAATATCATACAAAAAGACATCGAAATGATCCTTAAAATACAAATTAAAAAAGAACCAGAATACTTCCTGTTAGGAATGTTTGATGTTGAAGGAGATAAAAATAAAGACATATTATTTACATATCTAACCAGGGCAGCCAGAATTGTATATGCAAAGAGGTGGTGATCAAAAGAAGCTCCTCAAAGGGAAGAAGAGCAAAACAAAATCCTAGAGATAATGAATATGGACGAACTTACATACTGGCTAACATTGAACCAAGGAATACTGAAGAAACGGACAGCCTGGGATCCAGTAAAAGACTATTTCAGACAATGGAAAATAGACATTATTATTTTAAAAAAGAATAGAAAAGAAAAGAAATGAAAAGAGCGAACCATAAATGAAAAAAAATAACCGTGGGGGATTCAATTATTCTGATAAATATGGATAAAGACATAAAAGACCAAGAAAGATCTGATGGAAGTCAGCACAATTTTTTCTTTCTTTCTTTTTGCTTTTTTTTGCCTGTTCTTGGACACTTTTTTATTTTTATTTTTATTTTATTTTTATTTTTTATATATTTTTTACTTTTTTCTCCTTTCCCTTGTTTTTCTTCTTTTCTACTACTTTTCTATCCATAAAATGTTCTCCCACTTTCAATGTAATCACTATATTTTTGATACTTCGCCTTCTCTCTAGTCTTACATATATTTTGAAAATCTCACTAATAAAACATTATATTAACAAAACTAATGGAAACACAATAGTTTGAAAAATATTGAAAATATCTCATGTCTTTTTTTCTGTGTGTTGTGTCTACTAGTTATGAGAAACCTAAGGAAAACCCGGTTTTCCTGAAAAGTTTTGTTCAGAGGCAGTTTGTTATCAATACGTACCTATTCTCCACTAAGTAGAAATATATACAGAAATACAAAGACAGACAGACACTGTTATATGTCAGCCTGTGCAGCCTGTGAATGTTTCTGATGTTCCTGATGGGAATGATAGTCCTGATGATGTTCATGTTGGGAATGATGTTCATGTTGATGTGCATAATGGGAATGGGGATAATATCCCTGATGATGGGCCTGGGGATGAGGGTTTGCCTGGGCTGGAGTGAAGTTCAGAAGAGAGCCTTGAGCAAGGTCACATTCCTGGAAAAGACCTTTCATTGCTTTTCTCAGAGCAACAGCCTGAAAATGATGCTGAGATTGCTGTGCCAGGTGCAGAAGGAGAGGAGAGTGAAACCTTGGACAGAAAGCAAAGTTTTAGTAAACAGAGGCAGACCATTCAGAATCTCAGTCACTCTGCCCGTTTACAGCAAAAGAAAGGTAATAAACTGTTAACTAGTGAGAAGATGCAAAAGAATGTTTTTCTGTCAATTTCGGCTTTTTTTCATAGTACAGGAAAATAAGCTGTTTATTTTAAACAAGAAGTTTATTTTAAACAAGACGGAAGGGAAAACTATCCAAGATCAAATTTTTGTTTAGAGTTATTTATCGCTACTTAAAGACAGATTGCTCTACATGTAATAGCTATGTACAAAAAGTTATAAAATCGTCCGTGGTTGTACAATGATAAAAGAAAAACATTGACATTATCCAATCATATAAGGTATGCAAGGTTTTTTGTTTTTATCAACAATGAGGAACAAAATAACTTACTGGAATATAAAGACAAAAGTTAGAGGAGCGTGCCACTAATGGAGATCTGGGGTATTTGTCAATTTCAGCTTTTGGAAAGGGTTCATAATGATTCATGGGAGACTAGTGTCTCAGTCGAGTAAACGTTGTTAATTTATGCCGGTTTTGTTTTCAAGTGCTCTATGTTTCATGTATTAAGTTGTTGCCAAGTTTAATTTGTTTGCCTGAGAGTTCCTCCTATTTTGCTTGGTTTCAAGTTCCTGGCTTCATGGATTTCTATGTACTAATGGACCCGATTTCCTTTGAAAGTTTATGGATTATCTTGCTAAAGTTACAAATAAGGCAAACACTTCTGTAATTCATCCATCTCATCCAGGGTGGCGGGACTGTAGTACAGCTGGCTGGGAGTCAGCTGCATTAAGATCACTGCTGACCGAAAGGTCATGAGTTCAAAGCCAACCCGGGTAGGACTAAGCTTCCAACCAATTTGTGTAGCTTGCTGTTGACCTTTGTAGCCTGAAAGATAGTTGCATCTGTCAAGTAGGAAATGTAGGTACCGCTTATGCGGGGAGGCTAATTTAACTAATTTATGATGCCATAAAAATCTCAAGCAAGCGTGCAGTGTCACAAATGGACGGTGAAGCGACACCTCCCCTGGTGGTCAGAATAGCCTCATGAAAGCTGGAATGTTAAATAGCCTCTGTGTGTCTGTCTATATATGTTGTGTGTCTATGGCACTGAATGCTTGCCATAAATATGTACATTGTAATCCACCCCGAGTAAATAAATAAATAAATAAATAAATAAATAAATAAATAAATAAATTTATCCCTTACAACTGGCCTGATCCACTGTGCTCAATTTTTAAAATCATTTTAGGCCATATCTTGTGCTTATTTTATTGTATTACTTTGTTTGGTCTTACATTTTATTGGATGATATTATCTGTGGAATATATTTTATATTGCTTTGTTGTAATTGTTGGGCTTGCCCTCATGTTAACCACCCCGAGTCCCCTTGGGGTGATGGTGGTGGGGTATAAATAATAATAATAATAATAATAATAATAATAATAATAATAATAATAATTTATTATTAATATTGTGCTCTGAACATTACCTGCCATGGCTGCATTTTTTGAAGATCTCTGATTCCAGTTGTTCTATGTTTGAAACTGGATGAATCTATGTCATGCAAAGCATGTGCGGCAGCATAGACAGCGTTGTAGATGCTGTAGCTGTGGCTGCTCATGCTCATTTCAAAAACAGACATTGGAAGAGTCTCCAGATTGTTCTCCTCTTTGCATATATTTTCAGAGGACTCCTCTAAATTGAGCCCAGGAAATGAGCACATGAATGCGTGTTGCCAGAAGTCCCCGATAAAGCCATCCTCTTGATCGGTGTCTGGTTTTCTGTTCTGCAGAAATTCATGGAATCCTGAAACCTTTTTTGGAAGAAGTGAAACAGATAAGGCCCCATTGATGAAGCTCAGGTCCCAGTCTCTTTGAATTGGGAGCGATCCAAAATCTATTTCAGCTGTCAAAATCCAGACTTTATTTATTTTTGGTAAATCATAGTGAAATGGAATTATTATCCATATTCTCAAAACTAGAATTGACTGAACTTCTCCTTTTAGGATCACTACATTGGCAGTACTTGTCCAGAAAAGGTATGATGTTTCAATAAACTTATTTACCATTATTTCAATTTCACTGAAAAAGTTAATGTGGGTTACTGCTTTTATGAAGTCAAAGCAGATGCCGTTTTGCACGAACACAGGGAGCACATTATGTACAAATCTTTCTCCCATTTCATTATCTATATATATTACCCCAATCCATGTCCACTGGAAATGCAAAATTAAATTGAGAATCCCAGTGTATTGGTAACTTCCACTTGGGAACATGCGGTGAAGGAAAACAGCTTCATTTTTGTTATCCATTAGTGGAGCAGAGCCATATGTGATCTTTAGGGTGAGAGATAAGGAAGTAATCATATTAGCAAATTACATCTACAGGTTAAAATAATTTTAATGAGTGAATGAATGAAATGACTGTATCTCGGAGTGTATCAGAATAGTTAAAACCAAAACATGGTCTTGAAATAATAAAATCCCCCCAAAAGAAATCAAAAGCAAGAAAAAACAGAGGAAAATGTGTTAAAGCAAGGGAATTACTATAGAAAATATTTTAACATTTCTCTTTGCACCTCTAAGGTTTCAAAAGAATGCTGTTGTACTGTTTTGAACTTTGTAAGATTCGGTATCTTAAGTAGTGACTGAACATCCCTCTAACTATTTCAGTTAAAATGCATTTTGCAATAGCTGCATCTTCTGGGTCATCTTCAAGGGCAGCTCAATATGCAATCTATAACTTCACTTCACTTCACTTCACTTTATTTCTTAATTAGTCGCTCTCCACCAAGGTGCTCCAAGCAATTTACAGTTTAAAATAGCATTTACACAATATAAAAACATTCAACATAAAACATTCAACAGTGACTATTTGGCAAATTAGATCTGATTACTTAAATGCACAACCAAACAGCCAAGTCTTGAGTGCCTTTACAAGCCTGTGGAACTCATTGCTCTAATGTATGGAGGCAATGAGTTCCACAGAATTGAAGCATAGGTCAAAAAAGCTCTATGCCTTGTAGCTTCCAGGTGTCCCTCCCTAGGGCCCGGTATGTATAGGAGATTTTCCTGGGTGGATCGAGGTGACCACTGATGGAGAAAGGAATGAGGCGGTCCCTAAGATATAAAGGCTCCTTGGCCATTTCGAGCTCTAAATGTCAGGATCAGTATCTTGTAAGAGATCCGATGTTCTATTGGTAGCCAATGCATTTGTTGCAGAATCGGTGTAATATGGGATCTTATAGATGATTCCGCTAACAGCCTGGCCGCTGTAAACTATCTTGGATGCAAATACTGTGACCAGGCTATACCTGCCTACAAATGGTCATAGCTGGTGAACAAACCAAACCTGGTTAACTGGAATGAGGAGAACTCATGCCACAAATTACATTCAAAAGCTCATCAACCATCATTTCAAAGGGAGTAAATAACTCTAGTACATGAGGAAATATTCCTTTTCAGGATATATCACATGCATATAATTTATGAGCATTGACAGGCTTTCCACCTTGACAGACTTCACCCTGATGTTTGTCATTTTTGGAAATTGATTTACCTGATGTATAGCAGAAGAAACGATAGATATTGGGATGAGTGAGCTTACCTGTGAAAACTTGTAGGCGCACAAGATATCTGCCATGTAGAGACAGACCTCAGAAGCAGGTCCTCCAATGACTGCTGCTGGGTTGTTTTGGGTGTCACATTTGTAGTTAGGGACAAATTTGCCCCAGGTAGAAAGGAGTTCCAGGGAAGCAAGATAAGCAACGTCGGGAAGAAAATTACTGTTGTAAATGTAGAATCCCAATGTGATGTTGGGTAAGAGAAGGGAATTTTCATTGATCTCCTTAATGGCAAAAATCAAGGCCAGGATGTGCTGGTAGTTGTGAGTAAACACTCTGAAACAACAGTAACAGCAGATTTATATTTCAGATTAGTACATATTTTTATCTGTATTGCACTATAACATATTGAAGAATGCCTGACGACACATACAGAAACATGAGTTTGAGCCTTTTACAAATATGAAGTCCAATACTGGTGTAGCAGTTGTGGATTAGAATTCCTGTGTTCTAATTATTCTTATTCTTCTAATAATGATCACTCTATCCTGCTTAATCTCTCTCAAAAGAGACCCCAAAGCACTAAGAACAATGCAATATGACAAATGTGGGATTATATTTATTATTAATTTTCTTTTTCAAAGGAAGCAACAAAGTTATGAATAACTATGAAAGACTTTCACAGGTTATTACTAATTTTATAAATCATTCCCACGTGGCATTTTTTGCAGACAACCACACTTTCTGTGCAGGAAACTACATTTTGAATGTCTACACAGAAAATGCTGCACATATTATTATTTTTTTGTACAAAACAATGACTATATTTGCAAGTCTTACATAGAATAAGTCCCAAACGGCAAACAGTGTTAAAAAACATTTTTGCACATTTTCTAATCTTTTTTCTATCCTCAATTTAAACCAGTTCCAACATTATAACAATTTAATATTTGACAGATCGCAAGCTCTCCTATGTCTGAAATACTGCATGAAATAATTTGAGAAAAAAAACCCAAATTCATACATTGTATCTCCTTCAGATTTCTCAGCAGGATCTTGTCTAAAGGATATCTCATCCAAAGACATAAAAATCAGAGAAAGAATGGCACCAATGTGCAGGTCTCCAGACATACGATACTTGTGGTGAATACCAAGGGATCGACCCATGTCACATGAACCAGCTGTGCATGCCACCTGAAACAGACTGAACGCCAACTGAATGAAAATGAGTTGAATGGATAGCTTGATTATTCCACTTGGACAACTATTCATTGTTTCCCAAATTGTGATCCAGGTCTCCTCTAGTATTACAGCCTATCAGAAATTCCGTTGGTTTACTGGTTAGAAATCACTTCGGTACACTGTGAAATGTACACAGTCAAAGGAATGGAACCATCTTTTCCTCCATCTACAATTCCAATGGCATTAGCAATATGCATATAATTTAGAGTAATACACTCCTATGCAGGTTCAGTTATAGATCAGTCCCACTGACCTTACAATGATGTAGTCCTGTGTATAAAAGGGCACAGACCAAACCTTTTCCTCACTAGTAT